TAAAAACCCATCCCTCTTTTTCCAAGAAATAAAGTACTGTAACAACCATGTTCAGCACCAATATCATTCATTAGAAGTATTTTGAAGCTTAATTTTCTATCATCAACATACACCAAGGAAAAGGGAGTAAAAATAACCTGCAGTACTCACAAAATATTTTGAGTTTTTAACTCTTATTTTATTTAAATTAAATTATTTCTCTTTGGGGACAGTTTCTGAAAAGTAAATGTGATCACCTTTCCTATTTCTTCAGTTTTTTAACGAACGTTTTTATTTGAAAGTTATCACATATATCTCTTGGAAAGTTTGAGATTTAGGTTTCTATTTGCATACCAGTACTTGGATAAACCTTCACATTTGTGGGTTCTTTTCAGCAAACGTGATGATTTTTATGTTGAAAATTCATATCAAACTTATAGCAAATATTTATACCTGTATTATAGTGAAAATCTTCCATATAAATAACATAAAAATCTAAAATATAAATTCATAGGACGTGGTATGTGTGATGTTCATCTGAGCTGAATGTGCTTTTCCTAAATGTATTAATAAAATATATTGTTTTGGAAAAAAGAAACCTTAATTCTTAATATTTGAAAATCAACTAATCTGGACTGGGTAGATAACTCAGCAGTCTAAGCACCTGCCCACAAGTGCAAGGACCTGGGTTTAGTCCCTGGTACTGCATGTCATGCTGGCCCCGAAAACAGGTGCTAGGGAGGCTGTGGCAGGAGGATCACTACAAGTCCAAGCTGAGTAGCAAGACTCTGTACCAGGGGTCACCGCACTCAGGCCCCCCTCCTGTCCCTCTCTCGGACAGGAGCTTTCTTTCCCTCAAGAAATGCATTCTTCTCATTAAAAAAGACTCTGTACCAAGTGAATAAATAAAATAAAATAAAATAAAATAAACAAAATAAATCAATAAATGAAACAAATATGAAAAAAATCTACAGGTAGATTTTGTATCCCCTAAACTTGGTTTGTGTTTCTCCTTGAAATGCTTTTGTTTATTTGCTGTTTGGGTTTTCAGGCAAGGTATATGTAGTCACACTTACATTTATAATTCACTTACTTGTTATTTAAGTAAATGTTAGTGGAGAATCTAATATGTTCAAGCCAGGAGATTCCTTAATTCACATTCACAGTCATGTTCTTTCCATAAACCAGAGAAGAGGAAGAAAACATGTGAAGCAACAAACATACATGAGAATTAGAAACTGAACTATGTAGAGTCAAGTAGACTGTGGAGAGGTCACCCCTTCTGCCAAGGTGACACTTAACATTCCACAAAGCTATGAGAATGGCATGGCCACGGAAAGAAACATAGGGAACTGTTTCCAGTTAGAGCAAAAACAAAGACCTGTGTAGATCCAGACAGTGGAAGAAGACGGTGTTGTTGGATGGAAGGAGGAAAAAGGAAGGATTTGAGACTTCATTGTTCATCCAGTGGATACATAATAAATATTTTAACAAAAGAATAGCTTGTTCCAGATGGCATTTTAGGAAGAATAGTATTACTATTTATGTATAATCAGTTGGAAGAAAGAAAGAAAATAAAGTTAGAGTCTCGTTTTGTTTGAAGAACAGTCATGGTCTACAGGAACTAGACACTGATCCCCCTTACCTCCTACCAGGAAAGGGTGCAGACAGACAGTCCTTTTGGGAAGATGCCTCTGCCACTGGTGTGGGACAGCTCATCCTCAGCTCAGAGATGGCAGGACTGGCTATTTCAGATGACTGAAATACTTGCTCCCTTACATGACGTTGGTGTATTTTTGCAGTACTTATTTTCCCTTTGTTTTTCTTCATGATGAATGCATTCCTCAGATAAACAACTCTAAGTTCTCCTAGGCTGGTGTCCATCTGTGGAAGGTGCCAGGTAAGCCAAGGAAAGGACTTCATGGATCTAATAGATAAATCAATAAAAAAAACCCTTATATAGTTGCTTTGTAAAAGAAAAAGAAAATTAAGAGGCTGACATTAAGAAAATATAAGGAAAATACTTAAATGTGCAAGTTGACAGAAAGGAAGAAACCAAGTTTATGCATGAAGCACAGTATTAAATGATAGTAAGCAAATGTTAAAATATACATAAGAAGAGCTCAGGTAAGGGCGCCAGAAGAGCGCTGACTCAGCTACTGTTACCCCTAACAATATGGAGGTAAAGTTATAATTTCGAGCCAAATTTTGTGCAGGAGAAAATGTGTAGAGTAGGAAAGTGTGATACTCAGTTTCTGTCAGGGGTGGATGGAAAGGCAAAGTCCTAGAATATACTTAGGAAAGCTAACGCGAGGGAGACTGCCTATGAGCGTCGCTTACCACACGCTACTGCAGTTGCTTCTGTTTTGCTGATATTATGGCTCAAAAATCGTGTGCCAGATTAATTTTCATATATTTGATTTTTTGGCTCAATATATTGTACTCACTACATTATTTAAATACTTTCCATGGAAAATAATGAATCGTCATGATAATGTGTATTTTTTTTCCATGAGGAATAGCATTTTATTACTGTGATCACAAAATCATAATTTCTGTACAGGAATATAAAAGTGAACATTAATAATACATTGATAATTTATTTCACTAAGGGGTAAGCATACTACTGAATATAGTATAAAAAATACTGTGGAATTTTCTGGCCTTGCAGTGCACATTTTAGTGGAAGTATCTAAGACCCAATAGTGTTCAATTCAGCAAAGTATTGCAGAATGTCACACCACAGTCCACTTAATTCAGAGATGGTCAGGACATGGTGCTTGTAATAAAAAGTGTGTGTGTGTGTGTGTGTGTGTGTGTGTGTGTGTGTGTGTGTATGTGTGTGTGTATATTTAAAAAACACATGTAATTCATGAAGTATAGAGTGGCTTATTTGGATGTTTTAAGTGGTTCACATGGATTCAGGATGGCTGGCCACATTCCCAAATCCCTGTTGCCTTTGTCAGGACAGTCCTCCTGTCAGGCGAAGGCTTTCACCTCAGGCAGGAAAGCCTCCCAGCGTTTTATCAGGTGTTACTGTATTTATATTAATGATTCTAAGTATTTGAAGACAACAGTTTTAAAATCCTTCACTCCTGCTTCCTCAATCTCCCCACTTCTTTTCAAATTGTTTTAGAGATCTGGTCAAAATCTCTTCCACCTTGTACTTTTGCTTCCCTCTGCCTTTTTGCTTGCTGTATTTTATCTGGTTTGTTGGTGACCATCATCTTTGCCTCAGTTTCATGGTTTTTGAGCAACGTAATTTGAGTGTCTCCCCATGTCTGCCAGCACGTCATTCGATGGTCAGCTAGACCCTGCACTGCAGCAATGAGACAAATGTAGTCACTCAGGAGTTCTGAACACACAGAACTCAGCAAAAGCTTGTTCTTCTTGTGACTCGCCTCTTTTCTCTTCCACCTCTGCAAGCTGAGACAGAGCACTAGTTAGACAAAGCAGTATCCCTCAGAATTACCTAACATGGCAACACGCTTAGCAAAGATGGCTGTATTGCCTGAAAGTTTTTTTCTGTGAGCAACCAAAGCTTCCAGCCTGACATGAGGTTTCCTAAATTGCTGGTCAAAATTCTCAAACTGCTGCCACTTCTCTTCAGTGTGTGCATCTGATTCATTCATCTCAGTTATCATTTGGTTGGCAGCATCCACAGCCTTGTTCACCCTCCTCTGTATTCCAGCTCTACTCAGAGCCTGCATGCTGACCGCTCAGAGCAGCTCTGAACTCTCCAAGCTGCCTTAAGTCAGGGTCCTGTAGCAAAGTGGGATGCTTTACTGTTCTTTGAAGATACCTTTCAAGAGCTGCTCTTCATTGTTCTACAAACTCAGTGGATAATGACTCTTCCTTGCCTCCTTTGACCTTGGCTGTCCTTGCTATACTCTTTTCTGGATCTGGTGGCACAATGTAACCAACATGTAAATATTTGCTGGCTAATTTGCTGTGCAAACCAAGGACATCACTGAATCTTCTCTTAACTGAAAATTCATGCTTGCTGAACATGGAGAGAGAAGTCTTCGTTGTTACTCTGCATGCCATGCAATCATTCATGCCATCACTGACTTTCTCTGGATCTGACAGACCAATTGCTGAATCAGAAATGTCTGCATTTGCCTCTTCTTCAGTCTTTCCCTGGATCTGTCAAAGATCACAGAGCTGACATACTCTTGGATTCCATTCTAGGGGCAATGAGTGTAGTAGGCGTGGCAGGTGGAACTGCAGGTGAAGGTTTCCAGGACAGGAGAAGGTCCCGTTCTGGATGGTCCAAAGAAACTGCTTCTGGGGTTTCTGCAGACAGATCTGCGTCATCACCTAGTGTAACATCGGATGGTTTCTGGCCATTGCAGTGAGCCCCAGTATCCTCTGTAAGCATATTTACACTTCACGAATTTGCATGCATCCTCGCACAGGGGCCATGCTAATCTTCCCTGAAGCATTCCAATTTTAGTGTATGTGCTGCTGAAGTGAGCACTGTATTTTTTTTTCTTGAAAGAGGCACAGAACAAGGGATGTCCTGCACAGAGTGTCAGCATGCTAAAAAGTGTTTCAATATAACTGAATTCCTCATAATTAAAGTGTGGCGTGTGGATTATATAACTAATAAAGTAGCAATGTAGAAATTTGTTCTTCTGGACCAGATGAATATTCTGATTCATGAAGTACAAAGTAAACAGAGGAGAAGGACATGTTTTGATTTTCAGCCCTCTCTTCTCATTTGACCTTTCTTTACAGTACGTAACACGTTGTATGGCCATGTTTCTAAACTTTGCTTATTTTAAATACATGGCATTTACTTGAATAATTAGGAAAAAAAGTATCAGAGCTGCATTAATTGTACAATAAAAACAAAATATTTTATTGATTTTTAAAGCTTAAATCCTTCACATCAAATCTCAAATGCTATCCTTTGACAGTAGCGGTGAATGGATAATCAGATACATTTGTATGCTAACGTGTGAAAGAAATATGTTACTCTACTTCAAGGTAAATGACGTTGGCTCCAAAATGACTGACTGATTAGGAGTTTTTCAGATATAATGATAGTTGATGTTAGGACTATTTTAGATTCCTAAGGTTGGAAAAAGTAGGGTGAATATACATTTTACTTTTTTATCTTCTTTGAATATAGACTAATCCATCCAATTTTCTCTTTATGACTTCCATTTATAAGTTTTTTCCCACCTCTAAGATTATGTAATTAGTGCCTGCTTTTCCATATATTTATGATAAATGAGTCCCATTGAACTCAACCAGTTCTTGCTTGCTGCTGCCATTGGGGTTCTTCTCGAATTTGGTCACTTTTATATTACTGATTCTGCAGACATATTTTTTACCTTGAAATGAAATATGTATTAGAAGAAGGGATTTCTGGGCTCTCTCTGAGATCTAGAAGTGGTTTTGGTGATAAAATAGGAATGTACAATTAATAGTGTACATTCTAAGAATGTAAAAGGGTCAGCATGTAGAAAGAGTCTCCTAAAATAGACTCGATAAAGAGCTACATGGTACAGAGTTGCTGTTTAATCATTTGCATGTCCTCAATATTTCTGTGTCTTGGCTTGTTTACTGTCTCCAAAAGTTTTGCCCAGTCCTCCTGGCCCATGCTTAGAGCTTTTCATGGAGAACCTCCATGTGGCTTCTCGGAATGTGGATGTGCTTGCATCATTTTCTTTCTTGTCCTTCTCTCATTTTCTCCTGGTGCTATTTTCTGTTGCTACTTGTCACGCGCAGCCTTGCCAGCAAGGAAGACGTGACCACTGGTTGTGTCTGCGCAGCCTTTATTGCTCTCTTACATTTCTCTTCTCTCTCCCGAGGCCCCTGCTCTTAGCTTATAAGTCTTAGGGCTTCCAATCATGGGGTGCCACGTATGCACTGTCCATTGGTCCAGGTCTGCGGAAGCAATGCCTTAGCCCAAGCCTTGGCCATATATGGAGTTGTTTACTCCAGGAGCGCTCACCCTTTGAGGGGGTGGAAGGTGGAAACCGGCGCCATCCTAGGGCGCGGCTACACGCAGCTCCCTACAGCTACTTAAACTTTGCTTATATGATCATTATTTTTCTAATACCTGCCTGAGGGATTTAATTTTTCCTACTTCCCATTTGCAGCTTATGTATGGGCTTAGATCATGTGTTTAGTTTGAACCTTTATAAAAAGTAATACAGAAGCAGAGAATAAAACAAAATGCATAACAAGACCCATAACTTTGTATGTTAGAGCTCGTCTACATGGTAATAAATATAAAAACTAATACCTTAATACATTCAATCCACTTTCCCACAATCCATTAGGAATTGTCAATAAGTAGAGTCATCGTGACCCTGTGCAACATCCATAGTATAAACTTTAGCATTTGCTAAGTTCATCATTACTGACTTGGAACCAAAGTCTATTTGTCTTAGCCAGTAGTGACAGTTAAGTTTCTGATTGCAGTTTCTCCTGTCTAACATGAATGTCTAATGATTCATAGGAACAACCTCAACACTGAAACCTTATAAAATTATTATTTCCATTCCCCTCACTAAATAGAAGAAGTGCATATTGTTTAGAGGGTGGAATATTATCATGCTTGTAAAATAGATATTGTTTCGATACGAAATAACTTTTTATTAGGCTACCCAAGAGATGTGATTTTAAGAAAAGTTCTTGAAATCCGCAGATATTTTTGGTCTTTGTGCTGGATTTCTGCTGTAGTGTTTCTTTCAAAAATATGCTTGTAAAAGAGCCCTAGATAAAAACTCAATTGAAAAATTACTTTTGAGCATATATAGTATTAATGTGTGTTAAAATAAATTTATGACATTCTTTGAGAATTTCTGTGATGACAACAAAGGAATTAAAATTCAACTGTCAGTACTTAATGAGGGAAAGTGGACAGCAACAAAAGCTAAAGAGGCTGGAAAAGCACCTGCTTAAGAAATATGTAAAATAGACCCTGTGCTGCATTGAAGGGAATTACTGCAGGGCATTGAAGTAGGAGCTTAGGAACTTAATTCTCTAAGCCATCTTACAATTTTAAGATTTTAAAAATATTTAATCTGACCTCCCACTTTTAGTTATTTTCACAGAGAGGAGGATGGCATTTATAATGTAGAAAGTATGCAAGTAGTAGGGATGAAGAAGGTGTGCAATGCAGAAAGCTGAACATGGACATGTTATTCCAGAGCAAGAGTAAGCAAGACAGGGGCCCAGTACTCGGAAAACGGCAGCAAGAAGGCTTGCGTGTCGTGTCCTTAGCAGTGTGAGAAATGGGGGAACATACCTCCACTAGTAACCTGCAGCCACAGCCAGTTTTATTTTTTATTCCAAGACACATAGATATTTATGGGAGACGATTTATAGTGGTCCCAAATGGGTAAGGCATGCATGTAGCCAGCACAAAATGCAAGGGAGTTCTTCCTGAGAAATAGTCAATCAGCTTTGAAGAATGCCCACAACTAAAGTGCGGTGAATTTTTTGGTGAACCCAAAATATACAAAGCATCAAAGGAAGTGGGGTACTTTTTGAGAAAATGAAACAGAAAGAATTAGAATTGCCCACCATGAAGTTCTGCTCAGCTGTGAAGATGCAGCCTTTTGAGCCAGTTGAGAAAAACAGGTGCACAGTGTGCCCAGTGTCAAGTGAGACCATTTAGACATGGAAGGTTAAGTAGCACACCATTTATTTTATATGGGAAGCCTAAGAATAAATAATTTTGGTGCAAACTAAAACAGGTGATATGAGCTAGGAAGATAGACATTGTATAGCTGGGAAGGTTGTCTTGGGATGACAATTGGAAGGCCAAGGGGAAGTGAAAAGTGTCAAAGGAACATGTGTATATTAACCAATTCCCTGAGAGGCATGTGCTTATTGTATATCACAAACATGTACTAATGAAAGAAAGAAAAAAATAATCTTACACAAAACTCTATAGATTTTGGAGTAGGAAATGGTGAAATTGACAGTGATGTTTCCCGCTGATTTGCTTAAAGAAAATCTGAAACAAGCATGCATCATGACTGAAGCACTACAGAAACACATAAAACACTTGAGAAAGAAACAAAAGAAGTAGAAAAAGCAGGAAGAAAGGACATACTAATTAGATTTTTAAAACATCATGGTGGATTCACATTACGTTGAACACCAATGATAGACATAAAGTTACTCAGAATCTACCACTGAGAAGTAGAGAAGAAAACAATGAAATGGGTTGAGAAATGT